TTGGATTATGATGGGTATTTTATCATTAAGGCTTAATCTGTTCAAACAAATGCAAGATTCACTTTTGTCTAGAGTTACTTTGTGGGCCTGCAGTTTACAGTGGACATCGTCTTAACGCTTTGTGTTGGTAGTTCCATTTTATTTTCACAGATGATTTTTCATTAGAAAAGTGACTTGTACTGCTGGACTCTTAGTCACCAGGATCAGACACAATTGGTTGGTATTCTAGGTATGTTCCTGGGTGGTTCCAGTTCAGACACAGCTGGATCCAGAGACTCAATGATGCCGAGGCTGTGTCTCCCTACTTCTCAGCTTTCCCTGTGTCTGTCTCTGTCGGAATGACCTTGAAGGGTCTGAAGGTCTGCAGCTTCTCAGGACTCTTTGTCCTACTCTACCAACCCCATCTGTGTTGATCTTTTAGAAGAGTCTGGCCCATATGGAGTTTCTTCTGAGTCAGTGCCTTTGGGTGGGGATAGGTGGTACTGAGATGGTCAGCTGCGTCACGTACTTTTTGGGTCATAGTGTTAGCAGTGGGGAGCCCCCTTCTATAAGGCAGCACATATGGATGCGACGTCCCCCATGAAGGGAGAAGAGTGTTCTCTCCTGCTTCTGCCAGCAGAAGCTTTCAGTGGCAAATCACAGTTGCATGCGTGGTATGGTCACAAACTACCGTTAATGTTAAAAAATTCCAGTAAAAGACACGTTGCCAACAGTCCCCTCAAAGTTTGGCTGCCTCGATTTCCTGAATTGACTCGAAACGTTTACCTTTTGTGGTCATTTTGACCTTGGGGAAGAGTCAGAAGTTACACACTGTGCCACATCTGCTGACTAAGGTAGGTGAGGAGACACTGTAATGCTTTTGTTTGACAGAAACTGCTGTAATGCAGGACATGGGGACAGCCATGAAAAGATAAAGAATGTCCAGCATTGCCTCAGAAAGTGGCAAGAGCAATGGAATAAGTGTATTCAGAGCAAGGAAGCCATGTGTGTTTAACTGTAATAAATACGTTTTTAAATAGTCACTGTAATTTGTGATCACACCGTGTACAATGTTCATTTGACATTAGATGTATTTTTATTTCCCTTTGTCTTTGTACAGAGGATAGAAAGGACAGAACCATAACAACTAAAGGACCCATTTCCTGCACTTAGCCTTTCCTGTGCTATGTTAGCTCCTCTTTTGAGCTATCTTAAAGCACTTGCACAGCGTGAGCTGCATGTATCACGGTCTCCACCATGTGTGAGGCTGACGTTTGTTTCTGCTCCAGCTGTGTCCGCTGAGCATAGGTGTTCAGTGTAGCTGTGTGGGGTGAAACAGCCAGAGAGTGCCGGGCTGTGAAGGGTTGGGTGTGCACCCACTATGGCACATCGGGTTGAAGTTCTGCCCTGGTCAAAAGCTGCGGGATTCAGTCCTGTGGCATTGACAGTGCCGGAACTTCTGAAAGGGTGGCTTTTCCATCTTCCTGAAGGAGCCTGTTTTCCGTGCCATACTGAGGTGGAAGTCAGACCGGGATGAACTGGGGTTTCTGGTACCTCACCCAGTGACATGGTGGAAGGAGGCTCAGTAAGATGGCAGAAGGGACTCTCAGAACCATGCCCCACTGCTGCCTCATTGTCTGGGTTGATCGCCCATTGTCCTCCACATCCATTGGCCATGGCTTCTTTCCCGCAGCGGCAAGCCTGTTCAAACTCTCAGGCTCAGAGGCCTACGCCCCTCCTCCCAGACTTCTCACACCGCTTTGCAGCTCCAAACCCCACACCCTCCCTCTGTTAGACAGGAACCAATTAGAAACAAGATGGAAATGTTCAGATTAGTATGAAGACTTGCTCTTCCTCTCTCCCTTCCTTCCTTCCTTCTTTTCTTTCTCCCCCCCGCACTTGCTACTTATCCTTTTCCTCCCCTCTTTCTTTCCCTCTCCCTTCCCTTTCTGTCTCCCCACCTCCCAAACCAATACTTTGGGAAATGTAAGTTTGAGTCTGTCCCCCATTGAGAAAGTATCAGAGGTGACACTTTGCTTCCTAACGGGTGGCTGTATCTGTCAAGGTTCAACCAGAGAGCAGAACTAGGCAATATATACAAGACATTTATTTAAGGCATTGGCTGCTGCATTTGTAGGAGTTGGCTCAATAGATCCAAGGTGATACTGTAAGGCAGTCAGTCTGTGAGGAAAGGTGGGCTGGGACTCTCAGACATGGACAGACTCTGGCATCCACTGGAGCAATGGCCTCTTCTTTAGATCTTGAAACTGACTGACTCAGCTGTACCTGGGCCATCTAGGATTATCTCCCTTACCTTAACTCAGCCGACTGTGGGCTTTCAGACATCTGCAGAAGACCTTCATAGCAGCTCCTGGTTTAGTGTTTGGCTGAATAACTGAGTCCAAGTTGATGTAAAGATTGGACCATGAGAGTGACCAGCTGGAGTTCTAGTCCTCATTTGGAGGACTTGTGCAGAACAAGCTTTGTCCTGCTATAAATTCCCAAGCCTCTATAGCTTTATATTGCATTGTATAGACTTTGTAGAGGGCTTTTTCTGGCCATTGATACTTAGGTGATTGTGCTTGTGTAAGTCTGTTCTTACTCATTTCTGTTAGTCCTCTGTTTTGTAAACAGAGGTCCAGGTCTGGAGAGAACCACTTGGGTGAGGTAGAGAGGAGAGAGTCTGTGCACCCTGATCTAGAAAGCTTTATTTTAAAATGTGTGGTTCCTGTTGGACTTTTATCATGTTACTTTTATCATCTTCCATGAATACTTCTCAGACCTTTGTGGGTATGCTGGGCTCTGTTATAGGCTGGTGAAATATTTCACCAAATGCAACAGCTTTGGGTTGTGTGGTGCTGACATTTTAGTGGAACACACTAAGAGAAATAAAACAAGTACAGAACTTTATGGCGGTGCTAAATGAGTGGTAAGAGAAGTGACACAGGGGAAGGAGACAGAGAGGGGCGAGGGTACCTGTGTGCAGAACTGCCTACAGACTTTTCAAAGCCCTGTGAAAAATGAAAATTCACCACCTCCCCTTCAGAACCATAGAAAATAAATGCTACTAAGTGTCCTTAAGCAACGTCTTTTTCTTTTTTAAAATAAATCTCTGAAAAGCATTTTATTGTGATTATTATTTTCTATTTAATGCTGCTCTATGTAAAGAAAATAATGAAAATTTGGATTACTAGCATGAATGTACTGTTCACCTTTAGAGTGTGCAGCATCTATTTTCAGTGTCAAGGTTAGAACGCAATAATTGAAACTGTGCAATTGGTGTTTTCTTGTTCAGACTGCATTTGGTTTTATCAGAAAAGTGAGAATGCTGCACAAAACTAGCTGTTTTGGATTCATTTCACTTCACTTCTTGACACATCCACATTGTAGCTCACCTGCACTTTCCTCAGAGGAGAGGAGGGAAGGACTGAAAGAGGCCTGGCTTTCCCTTTCCTTTGGGGACATCACTCTCCATGTCTGTGGCCGCCCAAAACAAGGAAGTCATGAGAGTGGGGAAGGAGAGCACAGGATTCTTTCATCGTCCATGTCTCTTAGAACTCAAATGACTTATCTTGGCATTTGAAGAACCTTCTAATCCCAAAGAGTCATTGCCACCCTGCCCCTGCTCCCTTAGTCATGGGCTTCATGTGCTTACCGTGGGCTCACTTTGGCTCTCTCTGGATTCCAAATTGTCGTGGGACCATCGGAGTTCTGTGTCATCACAGATGCTAGAGGGTGGCAAGGATGGGGGAGGCTCAGAGTGTATCTCCTCTGCTCGTAAATGTGCCACCCGGTCCCACTGGACTTTGCTTGCAAAACACAAACTCAGGAGAAATGTTAAGAGGGCGAATGACTTTAAACTAAAAGCATTAAACTAAACCTGGAGGCTTTTTGAATGTGGGGTTCTCCTGGGCATAAGGTTGCATGTATGATTGTACTGTTACAGGCCCATGAAGCCAGGTGTGTGTGCGTGTGTGTGCATGTGTGTGGCTTCAGATAATATTGATAAGAAGTAAAGAGGTGATACTCAATCATGGCCTTCATGTTCAGGATCCCAAAGCCTATGTGTCTTTGGCTTATTCTGAAAAGAGTAAGGAAGACATGGTGACTGGGTCATCAAATGAGAGGGTAAGGGGAGGGAGAGAAAGTCAACACGGGTGAGGCAATGGGCCGCTGGATTATGCATGGCCTCCATGGCCAAGGTAAAGACTTGGGATTTTTCTTTAAGGAAATGTGAAGATTTAGAGAATTTGAACAGAGGCATAGCCTGTCATAGTTGGAGTTCAGAAGGCTCTCTCTATCTTCTGTGTAGCATATAGATGGGACAAGTTTGAAATTGATGGGACCAGTTTATGTGCTATTATAATAGACCAAGGAAAGACACAGCCTTGGATGGGGCAGTGTGGATAGTAATAGTTAAATATGACCAGATTCAGGACATATTTCAAGACTAGTGCCAATAGAGTTGCATATAGAAAGGATATTTTCCTAGGATCCTGGTTCAAGACAACAGATAAAAATGGCCCAGTGGGAAGTTTTCTAAGCTTCTATAGCTGGTGCATGAAAGAGCTGGGGCAGGCAGAGAATAGCAGTCTTACGTACTTTTTCATATTTTCATCTCCTGTGATAACTGGACTTTCTCTAACATATCTCCTCCTATACCTACCTCTTCTGATGATCTGTACTGGTGTAGCTGAATCTGTATGGATTACATCTCTAGGAAATCATCTTTACGACACCTTGGAAAAGCTGCTTGGAACATAAAAGTCCTTGGTGAGGTGACTCCACCACTAATCCATGGTTTTATGGTCTCGCTTAGGAATCAGCTGTCTCCCACAGATGCATTTTACTAGCATCCCCAGTAGGGTTTTGCCTTCTCGATGTCACAAATGTCTCTTGCCCTCATTTGCTGAAACAGAGTTAATAAGACCATGATCCTGCTACTGAGTTTGATGTATAATTGGCACCCTGTACAAATCCAAATGATTTGACTACAGTTGGCTCATTTTTATGCTTTGCAGCACTTTCAGACCATGCTGAAGTCTAAACTGAATGTCCTCACACTGAAAAAGGAGCCTCTCCCAGCCGTCATCTTCCATGAGCCGGAGGCCATCGAGCTGTGTACCACTACGCCGCTGATGAAAACCAGAACCCACAGCAGCTGCAAGGTACGGGTGCATGGCCAGCAGGGCTTCTCGGGATGGGACAGGCTCAAGTGTGTGGTCTTGGCCTTCTTGTTTCACAGATAGAAATGACTACCAAGGGAAGCTCATCCAGTGGTGGTTTTACGAACTTTTATCCGGTGCTATTTTTTAAAATGACATCACATTTTGCATAATTCTGGGGCACACATTAGAAACGTAGGTAGGTTTTAGAATGTATGGCTAAAGTGATAGTCTTTCTGTATTTTCCATAGTGTTTTTGAGGGGGAATCTCAAACTCAGGACCTCGTGTAGCCGGCGGTCAAACCACTGAGCTAAATCCCCGGCCTTATTTTCTGTAGTTTTATGGAACTTTGAGCTTCCTTAATGATCATTCTTCCCTTTGTATTTGCAATCTAAATAAAACACATTTTAAAAACGAGAAAACCAAAGACCAAAAAACAAAATTTCCTAACAATTGTGTTTTCTAAGTCCTTGGGGGCAATTTTGCATTTTTGCTTTGCTCTAGCTCTCAAAATTTATACTGATATTCATGCCTCGGAATCCATGAAGAACATTTTTCATTTATGCCAGCTATAACACTGACATGAAAACAAAAGTAGAAACAAAATGTATCATTTTGGTCAGCTTTCAGATTCTTCGCACATGCTGTTTCTGCTGAAGTTGGTGAATATAGAAATCGGTTGAGAGATAACCAAGAAAATATGTGTTATGCACATTTTGTCATCAGAAATTTACTTTGAGCTGTGAAAATATAATAAAGGGCAGGAAAAATACATGTGTGCATATGGATTTCTTGTAAACCGTGTGGATGTACTCCTGTCTCTCTTCCTTATTTTGGGGGAAGCAGTTCTTGCATTGCTGTGGTCCGGTTAGAGGAGACAGCAGGCTTGGGTGATGGTAAGCCCCAAACCTCAGATACATCCATTCACTCCACACGTTTCCCGGATGTTCGCGGTCTGCCAGGCATTGGGATCAGTGTGAGCTTCACTCACGGGGTCTTTGTGGAATTTAACAGCGAGCCGAGAAGCAGGGGACGAGAAAGCCGATGTGCGGAGGAGCATTTTCCTGGCAGGAGGCACAGGGAGGGCTGATGTGGGGATGTTCTTGGTATGTCTGGGATGGAAAAGAACAGGTCGGTGTACGTAGCTGAGACGCCCAGAAAGTTGTGAATGGTGAGGCCCCGCAGGGACCCCTGTGGTCTTGGGCAGTCGTCATTATAATGAGGACTCAGGCCAAGGAGTTCTAGGGCTCCATTTTCAAAAGCAGTTTTCAATGCCAAGTCTGGTAAGGGTTAGCTGGTAACCACACAGCTTCCTTAGAGGGGTTGCCAGCTACCGAGCTGAGCTTTAACTAGAGACAGTGAAATGGATGCAGAGAAAGGCCTTGGGTCCATTGTATTTAGTGCTCTTGGTACATTGATGACATAAAGGAAATTTAAAAAATACTCATTCCACTTGAAAGTGAATTTGAAAGATAAAAGTCCGTGTCCATCTCTCAGAAGATTGGCTGATATCATTTTGAATTCTGATCCCATTAGGGAAGATGGTGTCTCGGGGTAAGAAGAACTCAGTAGACACAAGAATGGGGAGGAGACTTTAATTTGATGAATCTACGCAGTGTGTTTAAAATAGGAAGGACATTAAAAAACAGTTACAGAATTAAAAACTTACAGATCCAATCTATACTTGCCAAGTGCATGTGTGCATGTTGTCTGTTATGAGAGAGAAATATTTACTAGGGGAATAACAACTATCATTTTTCTTAAAAGAGTATAGAGTTCAATATTCATGAACTGATTTCTTCTGCACACTTCTTTAGGTTGTACTCATTTTTTTTTTTTTTACTTCTAGTAGAATGCTACAAAACAGTAAGGGCTCAGGAGAGGGGAGGGTCGGGCTGTGTCCCCAGCGGGGCAGTGGTGGTTTCAGTTGAACGCAGGGAAGAGCTTCTGCATTCAAGGTCAAAAACACATTCCACTGGGCTGGAAAACATCTATGAATGCTCCATCCCTAGAAGTTGTTAGGAGAAGATTCCAGGCATAGATAATCGTAACCTAGAGTCATGGATCCCTTCCAGCACCCCTTGAGGTCTTTCCCAGAATTATCATTCTGTCTGAAGGAAGAAAACCTAACCTGTGCATTTGGCCGAATAGGACACTGTCCACTTTCTGCCTTTACGTTTTTAACAGCATGTGAGCCTGCGTTGTGTTTAATTTTCAAGGACAGCATAACATTTATGCTCAAAGTCCTATTTTTTTTTTGTTTAAGAAAAAAGATTAGATCTTGGAACCTTTAAATTTCTGTGTACGCTCCTCAGACCCCCACCTTTCTCCCATCCTCCTCAAGTAAAAAGTCCAGTGTTTGCTCTCGGGTTCTTGCTAGTGAGTTACGTAGCTTACAGGACGCCAGCTGCAGAATGGACTCTGTCTCCGACTCACGTGTCCCGGGAATAATGAACACAATGTAGCCCGGGCCCAGCTGCAGGGCCAGAATTTGGGGATCCTTCGTCTTTGCACACATTTTCTCCTTTTTTCCCAATGCCTCTCAAGTTGTGCTTGCAGAGCTCTGGATTTGGGGAGAGAAAGCGGCAGAAAGAAGTGAAGGAAAGGGATGTTTTGGGCAGCACTGCTGAGACCCTGGCTCATCTCAGATTTCCAACTTCCCTCTGATCTGTATTCGAAGTGGGTCCCGGCGGGATTGCCCTGCCAGGCTATTCATGTTTCGGGCAGCTGGGTCTTTGTGTGTTTTCCGCTATTGCTGCCGCTTTTTTCCCCCTCTGGAGTGGAGTTATTTAAGCACACAACACAGGGCATCGTATTAGGACTGTTATTGGAGCTGCTTTGAGAACCAGAAACTATGCTTGATATTGCAGCAGCAACAATAGCTTGTCATACCCGTCTCCTCCTGCCCGCCCCTGTGGACTTGGAGGCGGTGTCACCTCATTAGTGAACATTTACTGAGTTAACGCTCATTGGTAATCTTCCGTATGCATGGGATCATGGAGAAAGGGACCAAAGTAGATGTTGTAGGGAATGCAGGGTGCAGCCCAGTAGAAGGAGTAGGTGACTGACCAAATAAATGACAAATGTCGCTGAAACTTTGTGTGCATCCAAATCCCTTGGCAGGTATTAACCTGGTCTTTCTTTCCAGAGCCTCTGTTCCAGGCTTCAGCTTAGTGATGGGGAATAGGAGCCTGCACTTTCAAATAGACATGTAGTTTATGTAAAAGTGGACCACCTGAACCACAAAGCAATGTGTGACAAGTATAATATAAATGACACTAAAGGACATAGACCCTGGGAGGTGGAGGTTTGGGGGAAGTTGTATTTGCAGGCTGGTGGGGCTTGGATGGCCAGAATGGATTTGCCACTGCAGATGAGGAGACTGAGCACTAAGTGGGGATGGGACTCCGGAATTTCTGCTCCGGACCTGTGCTTTGTGAGTGGCACCTTCTCCTCCAGGGGGCGCCATCCTGTTTTGCATCGACTCACTCTTACTCCCTGGGTCTCAGCCTTCCTGAAGCAGTGCTGTTGCTGTTGCTGCTGATGGTGATGGTGATGGTGATGGTGATGGTGAACAGGAATGAAAATATTATAATATGCAAATGGTGATGAAAACCATGTCACATAGTGCCTGGAAAGAAAAATTTGTGTGATACACACAAATGCTCGTTTGTAAAAAAAGAAAACGGGGGGAGGTGTGTGAGAGTGAGTTACAGTAGTGATGCTGAAGAACTGTGCTTACTAATACATTAGCACTGTTAATGCGCCTGCATGGTGTGCCTGGCATGGGATCCGTTGTTCCGCATGAGGGCCCGTGAAGTCAGAGCCCCGTGCTGCCCCAGTTCGCAGTGCACACAGCTGGGGCACGGCGACTCCTTAGCCTGTCCCAGGATACCCAGTGGGAGGCTGGCGACGTCTCCTGGGGCCCCACAGCCTGCGCTCCCCACCAGATTTCATGGCCCCTCCAGACCCACCCTGTGGTGCCCATGCCCTTCACAGAGCTCTTTCTCAACGGCTTGGTCGTTTGTGTCATGAGAATTTGAGCTTCCGTACCCGTTGTAGGGACAGAGTTAGTGTATCTCATGTGCATTGAAAAACTTTTATATCTTTCAATGAGTTATGATTTTTTTTGGGGGGGTTGGCTTTTTGAGACAGGGTCTCACTATGTAGTTGAGACTGACCTAGAACTCACTGTGTAGCCCAGGCTGGTTTAGAACTCACAGAGATCCTCCTGCCTCAGCCTCCTTAGTGCTGGGATTACAGGCGTGCACCGCCACACCCGGCTAATGAGTTATGATTTTAATCTTACAGATTTATGGGGTTCAGGGTGATTGATCAGATGCACGAATACACTGCATAGTGATCAAATCAGGGCAGTTAACATTTCCATGTCTTCAAACATTTTTAAACATTTTGTATGAACACAATTGTCGATATTTATGAGGAACAGTATGATGTTTTGATATCTGTTTATAAGACAAGCTGCTCAAAGCAGGTTACTTAATGTTTTTAATCTCCTGATCATTACTTTGTATGTGGAGACGCAGTTCCTCCCTAATATTTACTCGTGAAGTATTTGGTAGTTCGGCTGGCATGTGGGCATACACCTAGAATCCCAACACTCTGGGAAACTGAGGTAGGGAGGTCGCAAATTTGAATCCAGCCTGGGCAGCTTAGCAATTTAATGAGATCTTGTGTCAAAACAAACAAACAAACTGAAAAAGGGCCAGGGATGTAGATCAGTGTGAAAGGCCTTGGTGTGATCTCTAGCAGGCTCGGTCCAGGGCTCACCACCCTCAATGGGCCCGCTCTGGTGCAGGAGGCATGGTGTTCCCTAATCTGGTCTGCTCGTCCAGCCTCCCGCGAAGCTCATCGAAGAGCCTCACTGCCCTCTCCCCACTTGTGAGAGCAGAAACCATCACACAAATCCATGTTCAAAAAAAGGGCTGATAAGTCACGAATTGAAACGATTTGTACATCTCTCTCTCTCTGAGATTCTGGA